GAACAAGATTGAATTAATCGGATATGATTAGTCGGAGATCGAATCGATTCATCTCGAGTATCGTAAAAATATTATGTCTGTTGAATTAAATGGTTTTTTTATGGTGTCAAATGGAAAAATTTGGGATGAATGAGAATAAAGAATAGGAATAGGGTTAGTGGGGCTTTTGAATTGTGATGATTGGCAAGTGAAGACCAAAAACAGTGCACATGAAATTTTTCAAAACTTGGCCCACCAAACAAAGTCCATATTACAAACATACATACATACATACATACATATATACATATATAATAATGGTTCTTAGACTATATATGTGTGTGTGTATATATATATATATATATATGTATGTATATATTATAATGAAGAGAAACAAACAAGGAGAGACAGAAAAAACAAAGCAGAGTAGGCCAAGCAACATCATGTTTTTAGAGGCTTTCCCCCATTTTCATCATCACAAGTCCCACTTTCTTTCCCACCTGCACTTTCTCATGTCTCCATTCACTACACTGCGGTCACTTTTCAGTCAAAAAGTTGGACTTTCAAAACCAACTCTTACATTCCCATTATTGCTTTTATTTTCTCTTCTGCAGATTCAACAAACATAACCCTTTCAATCACACCAAAATCCACACTTACCATAAACTATATGCTATTCCCATAAATTACCCACTTACCCCCTCCTTTAGATTTTAACCAGACTAGACAACGGTTAAGAGGGATTCTCAAGAATGAGAAATTAAAAAGAAAAAAAACCCCATCAATCTAAATAGTGATGGTAGCCAGAAAACTTAGTTGGAGTTAAGAGTGGGTGCCTTTAGAAAAATTTATAAAGAAAAAAGTAAGAACACAGAATATCAAAAACCTTCCTTTCTTGGGTATCTTTTTACTTCCTCTCGCTCATGAGAACCAGAAGAAAAGAGTGAAGATTCCTTGCCCATTTATCAAATCTTTCATTGACAGCTAGCTCAAAGTTGCTTTTGCAATTTCCCATTTCCCACTTACCCATCTGCAAACCTCTTACAATCTTTCATTAATATCAACTGGTTTTGGAAAACAGTCCATTAAATATTTTTGCATTTATTGATCAATATTGCAGAGTAGAGAAAAAGTGTGTGAGGAAGAAGATATGGTTTGGTTGGTGACCCACATGATTTAACCAGAATTCCTTCAAACAAATACCCAATTCAATTTCAAAGAAAAATTAAATGTTAGTCATTGGATTCCCAATCCACCCCAAAACAAATCCTCTCATCATCATCATCATCATCTAAACATGGCAAATTAAACATTCAGAAAACCAAAACAAAAAAGAGAACAGTAAATTTTACAATTGAATTGAAGCAAAGATCCTCTCACTCCTCTTTGCAACTATCCCAACATTACAGATTTTTTATCTCCTTCTTCCTCCTCCTCCTCCTCACCACCCTCATCATCGTCAATGTGCCCCAACAATATGTTAAAATCTTACAACAAAAAGAAAAAAAACAACTACTGAAAGCATTTTATTCAAGAAGTTGTAGAAGTAGAAGAACCTGAAATCCTCGGTGAAGTAACCGGAAATAGCGGCAGGAGTCGGGGCTCCGAATCCCGCGGCGTTGATGCGGGTGAAGGGTGCAAGTAAAAACCCTTCTCTTTAATAGCTTTCTCCTCCGCATCTGTATCTAAATTCCCATTATTACCATTATTACTCCCCTGATTGTTATTAACGAAGCAACAATTATTGCCGCTGTAATTTGCTGCACCCGATCGGTCAAACGGGTCGGGTATCAAAGGAGTTACAGGGCTGAGAACAAGAGCCGGGAAATCAAGGATACTCGGTGACAGGATCTCGGGTTTCCGAGGGGAGAACCCGGAATTATTCGGAGCAAAAATCGGGTTAAGCGGGTTGATCTTGAGATTCTTCAGAGAATTTCTACGCTCGTAAAGCTTGAACCCGGAGTTCTGCTTCTTTGGTATAGATTTGATGGGAGGGATGTTGTGGGTTTTAGGATAAACTTCGTTCTGTAAATTGTTGTGATGAGCGGTGGGTTTGGCGGAGGAAGCGAGCTTGGCGGTCTCGGAGGATCCAGTAAGCATTTGAACGACTTGCTTGAAAGAGGAGGTGTCAGCTTGAACGAAGGTGGTGGGATAAGGATTAGCAGACTCGGATCTGGTGAGAGGTCGCGTCTGTTGCGCTGCTGTAGGCGTTGTAGGAGGTGGCGGATGATGGTGGTTTTTGGTGGCAGTGTTGCTGCTGTTACTGCTGCTGCTCGTGCTACTATTGGTGCTATGACTTGTGGGAGATGGAAGCAGAGTTTGGTTTTGGTTATGGGTTTCTTGGTATCTAGGAGAAGCCTCCATTGATGAATCTGGGCCTAAGTCTGGTCTGGTTTTGTTAACAGCGAGGAGGAAGAAGAAGACGAAGACGAAGACGAAGACGAAGAAGAAGAAGGGGAGGAAGAAGAAGGGGAGGAAGAAGAAGGGAATGGTTTGATGAGATTAGAAATGTAGAGCGAGAGATTTGTTATTTTGTTTGGTTTGGTAAAAAATGTTTTGGTGGGGACTTTTCTTTCTCTGTTCAACCTTACTTTCCCACTCTCCTTCATGTGTGTGTAATTCACGCGCTCCAATTCTAGGTTGAGATTGTGATCATGTGAGGCACACACACACTTTTGTTTGATCCTTTAGGTTTAAGCGGTCAAAGCCTTTTATGTTCTTGTTGTACAATATATATATATATATATAAATATATATATATTCAACCTTATTTATTATTCAATAAATAAATAAATAAACAAATAAAAAGTTTCATTTATTTTTGAAATTGACCATATATTATTTTTGATTTAATGGTCAAAGCTATAATTTAAATAGGGAAAAGAATAATAAAAAGTTATGAAAAATACCAAATTTTGATTTGATTAGTACATAAATGAATAGTCAAAGAAATTAGTTAATGTTGTTCATTCAACTTATTTAAAGAACCATATAAAAGCAATTTGAAATTCGGAAAACGAGATTTAATTCACGAGTTTATTTGTTCTTGTTATGGAAATTAATTATATTTATTTATATTATTATTATTTTTTTAGAACATAATGGAAATTTCAAATTTGAACAAAAATTTTTGGGCCGATAAACAAATTTATTTCTATAAATGGGTATTTTTTTTATATCCATATTTTAAAAAATATTGTAATATAGTTAACATTTTGAGTATTCTATTTAAATGAAATTATATATATTTAAATTTAATTATAATAATTATTTTTATTTTTTATTATGAAACGTTAAATTATATTCTGTCGTATTTTTTATTTTAATTTTAATTTTTTAGTCGTAAAAATAATTTTATAATTAAATAAAAAAATTCAAAATATTTACGTTTAAAATCTTAAAAATTAATTTTACCAAATATATAATTTTTATTTTTTAAATTAATATTACTTTCTATAACTATTTTGAAAATATTTTTAAAACCCTATAAGGGTCCAAATGTCCAATTAGTTTTGACCCTTTTTTTTTTTTATGTAATTTTATACATAATAGACTGTATTAAAAATGAAATAAATTTGAAAAACAGGTTAAATTTCTTTTATATAGTTGTATATATATACATATGTACATATATGGAGTTGATTAAATGAATATTTTAATTAGATCGACCAAAAAAGCTTTTTCACGGGTAAAGATTTGAAACTTTTAATTATGATTAAGAAATTTGTTTTTATAAGTCGTATAATTATTATAATTATTATTATTATGGAGGGAAGTGAAGACACGCGCATGAAAGAGCAAGTGGGGGTGAAGGGTTAGTGGAAGAAGTAACATGCTATTGGTGGTGTGTGGAATTTCAAGCAAAAATTAGTGGGGTTGTAAAAATTAAAAAATAAAAAATAAAAAATAAAAATTCCCATTGACTTCATCACCCACTTTGACCACAGTAATTTAAAATCCCAAATTATAATTTTTTATATAATTATGTACATAATTAATTTATTTTATATATATATATAACCAATAAAAATTAATTATATTTATGAAAAAAATATATATAATAAATAAAATTATATATATTGTAATACAAATTAATAAATGAAGGAAGACAAAAACATTAAAAGAAAATTATATTTTGTGTGAGATTTTTCCTTTTATTTTTTGTTCTAAAGTGTTGTTTGGGTCCAACATTTCTTTTTCTTATTGTATTACATCGTTGCCCTCTTCTTAATACCTAATTTCCCAAATGCTTAAAAGATGGTCCACCATCTTCCAAAAAACTGTTGTGTGTATATATATATATGTGCGTGTGTGTATATATATATATATGTGTGTGCGTGTGTGTGTATTGCAGTGTATATTATATACGGTGTCATGTACAAATTATTTAAGTACGTGTCAGTAAGATCCTTGGAGTTTTCATGTTTATATGCCCCCACTCCATTTTGTATCATGTTTTACATTTTCATGCTTTCTTAATTTTCATAATTAGTAATATATAAATATCAGTTATAATATAACAAAAAAATAATTTAAACGAAGATATATATATATATATATATATGAGAGACACCATAATTTTTGATATAAAAGAGAGTGTAACACTCATATATATATATATATATACATATGTTTTATCTCTCTTTCCAATCAGTTAATTACTGTATATATTTAATATGCAGTAGAATCTAAGAATGAACAAATACAAAACTGGCTAGTTAATGAACTTGGAGTACTGCAATATAGTTGTGGGTGTGTGTGTGTGTGTGTATGTGTGTATATATTTTATATGTATGAAACAAAAAAGCCAGAGAAGTGCTAGAAATAGAAAAGATGCTTTCGACAAGTCAAAACCCATTTCCAGAAGTGAATACTAAAAAATTCTTATTAGTTTAATATAAGAGTTGTGCAGTAGTGATTATTAAGCTCTTGTTTTTTTTTTTTAATTTATAAGAAACCTATATATATATATATATATACGAATTATAAAAGGGATCATATATATATAAGCATAATGAAAGTTTTGAGCCCCAAAAGAGATGGAATATTATTATTATTTAGGTTAGCTTTTCCAACAAAGTCATACTAATTGATTCTCAAATTGAAATGGATAGTTATTGCAAGTATCCTAGGCTAGATACCATATACATATATATATATATATATATATACACACACATATATATATATATAAGATTTAATCAAATTATAAAAAAGGAAAAGAAAGAAAAAAGAAAGAAGTGAATCCAATTCTTGTGTCCTTGGACATCATGGCATGTAAATGCGATGTGGTGGTGGAAAGGACCACATCTGCCTGCAACTATATATATATATATATATATACATATATGTATATATGTATGACATCTCTCCCTCTCCATCTGTCTTTTGTGATTTCTTGTGGAAAAGGTGGCAGAGATGACAACTCCATTAATGGACTGGACAGTGGTTGATGAACCCACTTACTCACGTTTCAAATATTCAAATCACCACTCCACGTCCTTTCAACGTTTTCCCACATTCTCTCCCTCCTCCCCATGCAATATGCACAAGGGAATCCATTTTCCATCTCTAATATCTTATACATTCTAAGTTTCCATATCTCTAATCTTCTAAATATCATATATATATATACATACATACGTATACTGTGGATACATAGAGGCTATTTGAGAAAGGTTTCCAATCAAGACGCGCATGACTTGTTTTCTAATATCACAACCCTGATTAATTGGGGTTAAGACTGTATCTAGATATGGATATGCTTAAGCTTATATTTAGCCAGCCAACGAACCAACTCACTATATTCTAATATTGTACATTTGAGATATCACTTTGATGAACACCTCCACTTACGTGCAATACCCATAGGAGCACAAACCCATGATTAAGGAAAATTATGTATAATTAAGTAGTATATAAACCCGTTTATCAAATCCTAATTTCAAAAGCAATTTACTAAAGCTTAAGTTAATGAAACATTTACATGACAATTTGTAATAAAATATAAGGAAAATGGTATACATAGCACATGTTTGGAGATACTATATTGTGTGTGTGTGTGTATATATATATATATATAGAAGCAATATATATTAATGATGTAAAGATCAAAGAGTTTTCAAGACTTGCCACTTACTAAGGCCGAAATGGAAATTGAAAGTTGATAACCTAAAGGGTCTAGGTTTGTATCACAAGCCCAATTTTATTTTATTTTTTGAAATGCTATGTGGGCCTTTTTAATATTCTTTTATATTGTCAAATTCAATATATATATATATATCTAAAAGGGTAGTCTAATTTATGACTTGAGAGTAAAATTAAGGACATGGGATGATTATATTTTAATTTTCTTCAAATTTTTTTTTAAAAATTTTATAATAAAAAATATACATTTTATGATTATATTTTGTAAAATTATTATATATAATTTGTAGATGTAGCATAAAATAAAAGATTAAAAACATCATAAATAATAATAATGATTGATAATCATGTTGAGTAAGATCCACTCTCCTTCTTTCTTTATTTATTTATATCTTACATTCACATTTCTCCATATATATTTCTATCGACTGTCACTGTCTGCCATGGAGCTTGGTCGACCATACATTTCTCCTATATATATACATACATATATATATCGAATCATCACATTATTTCCATAACATGCAATAATGGTAATTTACATAATTTAGAGTTATAAACAATAATGTAAGTAGCCAATGAAATACGTAACGAATGTAGTTGATGTTAATTTTGAAAAATGTTGTAAGTATAGGATTTCTTTTGAATGAAGAATTTTATTTAAACAAAATATATCTTCATGTATTTTACCATCTATATATATATATATATATAGAGAGAGAGAGAGAGAGAGACCGAGAAATCTCGTAATTTTCATCACTTTTTTACTACACTTTTTTCTTGCTAATAGAAATTATGTCTGCCATAAGGCGGACCACGTACGCTCCCATCTATGACTATCATCACATTTTTTTTTTATTTTAAAATTATAATATAAATAAATATTCACTCAGATGTATATCTATAACCTTATTATATAAAATTTAATTAAATAATAATTGGTAATTATCTTTTTAATTTCATACATTAACAAAATAAAGATATTCAAATTAATAATAAATATTTTTATATCTTTTTATGTGATTGTATGAGATCGAGTTGAAACTATTTTGGTTCGTTAAAAAATTATGTTTGTATTTTTTAAAAATATTAAAATATTAATTTCCCTCTTAAAGACTGATTAATCTTGTTTAATTATATGCATTCCAGATAATTATCTTCTGAATTAATCAACGTAAACTGCGCTCAAAAGCACTTTTTTCTCAATGATTGTGTTCAAAAGTACTTATGCCAAATAAGTGCTTAATCTACATAACCAGCTTCACACTCACACTCAAATAAACACACACACAAATATAAGCACAAACTCTGATTAATCAAATCTGATTAAGACGACAACTCCGGTTTAATCGCTAATCAATCAACGAGGGCATTTCGGCTCGAAAGCAAACGGACCAACGGTGAAAACGACGAAGGGTTGGCCAGTGAGAACAACCGGTTTCTGCTCCGTCAACACAGCGCCGGTGGCTCCGCCGTGTAAATCAGTAACTTTGCTACAGGCGGTGGTCGGCGCCGACACCAGAAAAGCCTTGCACCGGTGAGCGCCGTAGTTCGTGACGGTCGCCGGCGCTTTCACCAAGAAGTAGCCGTTCTTGTCTGTCTTCCCTTTAACCTCCATTGGGTACTTTGTGTTGTTGCACTGCAGCTTCACGGTCGCTCCTGCAACACAGTTTTTTTTTCACTTCAGCTTTTTACTGTGCGGTAAATTCTAGAAGGTTTTCACAATATATATGTATATTAATTACATAAAAAAGTATTACTGGGCCATCTAAGAAATTAAAATACATTAAATGAATTAATTAATTGAAAGTAAAAAGTAATAAAGTAAAATAGAGTGCATGTAACTTGTGAAAATGGTTAAAAAGAAGAAGAGTAAAAAAAAAAGAAAAAGGAATTTTGTCACGGAGTGGAGATAACAGTGAGCGGCAGCTTTAATGTTACGGTTGGTGGTACAGTAATTCAGTGCTGCCATACTGGTAAACATTGTCAGTTCTTTTGCCTAGAAATGGAATAAAGGTTTTAAAGCTAATAAAACCATATATGTAAACACAATTTATAACGAGTAAGAATGTATTATCTTGCTAATAAAACCACGTATACATTACGCCATTGACTAAACATATCATGCAGATTATATATTCATATACATATATATATATACAATGCAACAATTCATGGACATGCATGCATGATTCAAGAAGCCATTTCCAACGCCTTGCTTAAACTAAAAAGCAAAGAAAGAAAAATGTAAGAGTAGAGAGACATGGTTAGGAGGACAAACCCAAAACCGGTGAAGCTCCCAAGAGGGTATCAACTCCGGCGTACTTGCAAGACTTGCAGTAAACAACACCCTGCACTGCTACAAACCGCCTTGGGAAAGGATAGCTCGGCGGCTTCACCGGAGGCTTCACAGGAGGCTTTACTGGTGGATGAACCGGAGGTTTCACCGGTGAGGGTGCCGGAGGCTTTACTGGGGGATGAACAGGGGGGTTAGCTGGCGAGTGGGTCGGTGGTTTAGTGGGTGGGTGAGGATGGTGGTGGTGGTGATGAGTCGGGGGTTGAACAGGTGCAAGAGCTGGTGGGTGGTGGTGATGGTGGGGCGCCGGAGAGGTTGCCGGAGAGTAATGAGGTGAGAAAGCTTCGGCGTCGTGGCTGAGCTCTGCATTGAAGCAGGTGGCCGTGAAGAGCAGTGTGAGGAGAAAGAGTTTATAATGAGCCATGGTGTTGCTGGTGTAAGTAAGGTAGAAGAGGGAGAGTAGTGAAGTGAGGAAAGAAAAGAAAGGGGATATATAGGGGGGTGTAAGGCCGTGATTCTCTGCGGTTTTTATTCATGAAAATGTTTATATGTAAATGGTGGTGGGGTAGCTTCTTGGATTATTCATTTATTCATGCATCCAAACAGGGTTTCAAAGTTAAAAAGAAATGGAGGGACATTTTCTTTTTGTCCATATACAAGAACCAATTATTAATAAGTTAACTTTAATTTAAATGTATTAACATAATAGTTATATTTTTTTAATAACAGGAAAAACTATCCGACCCATTTTAATTTTCAATATATATATCTATATATATATATTTACTAACAATTTTTCTTTTTAAAAATATACATGGCATTGATTTGATATGGACAAGTGACAGAGAGGGTCACATGCTATGGGGGAAGTAAAAATTTATGCTTTTCGAATTTTGCACTACTTACAAGGACCATGGAGAAGTTTCCAATGTATTCGACCGTTGGATCCTTTTATTTTATTTTTTAATTTATTAAACAAATTATTGAAAAGGTTGATATATATATATATATTTAGTTTTAACGTATGACATACGAACTTTAAAATATACCCTATTTCGAGAACACACAATAGTCAAAACCCCTTTTGTTAAATCTTTTAAAGTTACTAAAATAACCAGGCACATAACAATTATAAATATATCAAAAAGAATGAGAACAAAACAAACCCAGAAACCACAATCAGGTTGTTTTTAAACCGTGAAGAAAGAGGGAGAAGAATGGTTTCTCATTCCAGTTTCCAGACCCACAAACCATCCACAACAGAGTGACTAATAATGTCTCCTTACTATCAAGAGGAACTCCTTACAAAATCTTTCTACTCAAATTATACATTAGTCTGAAAGATAAATTATATGAAAAAGAAACCAAAAAAAAAAAAAAAGAATACTTAAAACCTCACAGGGCTGCTAAAAAACTCTTAGGTCCCAAGAAGATTCTTCTCAGCAAATGACCACATACTATCTGCAATCACCAACAAATGTCACTGGAGGCATGTAGAATGAAATAAAAAGAATGATGGTGTACATTTTCTGCATATAATATGGTATTTGAGAAAGATTAGGGCCACCACAATATATGTAAAAGGTGTTCTTCCACTTCTAAGCCCCAAAATACAATAAATTAGATGAAGAGAGACTCAAAGATAAACATACATTCCCTTGATGACTACTCTAATCACTAGAAGCACAGACGTTGAACATATTCAGGCCAGCATACAATCAACCACCTTATTGTAAGTATTCACAAGATGATCCCCATTATACTGAAAAACGAATAGTTTGCATACATAGCTTTTATTTGTGTCACTGAGGGTGATAGCAACATTCTGAATGATGGAAATTAGAGAGCAGATGTGGATGAATTTACACATTTCAATGACACAATAGAAGCGCAACAACAAACCTCCCTCTAGAAATGGTAAATAACTCGCCCCAGTCTTGTACACTGTCATTTTCTTATGTCTGCCCTCATATTGACCCAAGATAAACCCCATAGTAATTTCAGTGACAGATAGCTAACTCCCTTTCGAACTGCTAAGTTTTCTACTAGTTTATAAAAGATGCTTGAGATCATGCAACTTCCATGGATTTAAAGAAAGCGATTATGCTTCCTAGACCTGAGTTACTAATACTTCTCTATCTTTTCGGTTTGTATTGTGTGGAATATGACTGAAAATAGATAACTGGATGCAATTCTGTGTGAGCAGGCTAAGCATGTATTCATGATCCCCCATGGCAGTATGTCCAAGTAAGATACCAACCCGATAGCTAGGAGTAGAGCCATTATGACCATTCCGATACAGGTGAAAAAACTAAAACTAAAAACCCACCAACTAAAAGAATCTTGCCTGATCCATATGTATCAATTTTTTGAAAGCTTCAAAACAATCTGACATAAAGGCAAAAGTCCGAACTTTGTCCATGCAAACCAAGTAGGAATCCTGCTCGGCACAAGTTAGGATTGCTTCAAGAAATGCACTTAGAGCACCCCTCGTACTTTAAATTACTTAAAATTACTTAAAGTTGACACTCATTTAAAAAATAAGCCACCATGATTTTAACAAAATGGTGATTAGAAAAAAATAAACATTTATCTTTTTAGAAAGAACTAATAATAAACATATATTTTCTATAAATATTTTGTAATTTATTTTAATATGTATTTTGTTAATTTTAAGTAGATAAAAATGATAATTAGAAAGATTTGTTAGATTAAAAAATTAAACTTTAAAAATTTGAAATGAGATGTAAAGTTTTTAAGCACCCTTTACAGAAAAAAAAAATTTAACTAAGTGTTTAAAGTTACCTATAAGCTTAAAACAAGAAATTTCAATCACCCTCATAGTCTTTTCTTATTATTAAGAAGGAAAAAAACAAATGTCTACAGTAGTATTTGGAAGTTACTTTTATAAAAATTGATCAATTGTTATGGACCTATGTCCACAGTGGTATTTGGAAATTACTTTTATAAAAATTGATCAATTGTTACGGACCTATATAACCTAAAACAATCTTCAGTAAGATGGGTGCATCAATTTGAAAGGTAGTCATGTAACTCATGTCATATCGCTCATGATACAAAAACTTATTTTTTTGAAATAAACTTCATATGAATAAAATTCATTTTCATCTATCTTCTAACGAACTGAGAACTAGAAGTGCTATCTAACCAAGTACACAAAAAAAAAACTTTCATTGTATTTTGTTCAGACCTATTCTAATCCTATTTTATTCCTAAATCTTATTTATTTGATACATAGAAATTAGGCAAAGTTTACATAATACATAATTGGATCAAGCTCACCCATTTCCTCAATTATATAACAATGACTTTGTATCCACGCATATCGAGGAAGAAATTAAAAAATCAACCAACTTGAATTGGACCTAAAATTCACTTGGAATGAGAATGTTGTTTTTAATTCAATTTTCCATCCCATTTTCATTGTATTGCTATTACCATTCTATAATTGGAATTTGAATCAAACTCAATGACATATTTTCCAACAAAAAACCTCATTTACCAGCTTAAAAAAAGATAGACAAACATAAAAAATATCGCGATATAAATTTCACAAGAAATATCAGCGGGCATAAAATTCACTAAGCCTATGTTTAGAACGAATAAGACTTATTTATGGAATTCATGTAAAATTATGTTATGAAAGTATGAAAATACCTTTCAAAATGATAAAATGGACCTCCAAGAGAATTCAAATGGCAATGACCTAGTACCTTCCAAATTACAAATTCTAATCATATGTGAAATTCAAATGGCAATCCACTTGAAATTGTTTGCAGCGATAATTTGTTAGAATGTCATAAGAGATTCCATGCTCTCATAGTTTAAATTTGTTCTCAATGCCACAAGTTTTATCTATTTCAAACATACCCCAATAATCTTCACATACATGGTAGGATTATCATTCCTTGGTTTGATTTACTATAGTAAAAATTACTGGCAAGCATCCAATTAAAATTTAAAGCAGAATGCTAAATTATCCAACTTCAGAAAAACACGAGAAAATAATTAATATTTCACTACAAGCATAAACAAAATTCTCCTGGTGACTAACTTTGAACCATGTCTAACTCAAGTAAACACCAGAAAACATTCATCCAAGACCTTTGGTAACTAAGGAACACAAACCAACAGACATATCATGCATGATTAATATAGAAGTAACGGTTTTGGTATCAAGTTAATTATAGTCACGAATCATTACCATTACGCCTGTGCATTAGCGCTGTTATCTTCTACATCATTAGTAGCTGCACTTGGCTCCCCGCCTTCGGCATCTTCACCAGGTGGCTGAACCTGTTCTTCCTCAGGCAATGGCTCCTCCACGTACTCATTCTCAAAAGCATCTGCTGGAACCTCATAAATCCTAACTTGAGGCTTCGAGGGATCCTTGACAAGGACATACTTACCCTCGTTCAGTTTCATACACAAGTCCACAATAGACTTAACAATACCCCACATATTCGCAGTATTCAGATTAATCTGAGTAGAAAATTCCCTTGGCTTGTACCCAACAACCGCCAATATCACATGGTTGAAATGATCACGTGGATGAACCCTAGAAACATACCCTATTTTCATCAAGTCCGCACTAGCCAACAATGCCTGCGCAGTCCATTTAGCCAACTTATTAGCATTGTTCTTCAATTCAGTAGCCAATACTGCACCTCTCTGCGTCTCCAATTTCTGCCTCCAATCAACACCAGAATATTTTGGATCAAATTCATTAAGGGCATTCAAGGTAAGGAATGACCTTTGCTTATTAACATCAACAACACTCTGCACCTCACATCTTGCAATAAGATGCATATCATCATCAAGCTTCCATCTCCTATACCTGTAGGCAACAGAAGCCACCTCCTCACCTTCATTGGCAAACGGATTTGGCTCATCAAATGACACCTTGTTCCCATCTCTGACCAAAACCTGCTGCGAGAAATTCTGATTAACATAAGCAGCCTCCACGCTCAAGGAATATGCAGAGTTAATATCATCTTTAGCCTCAGGTAAAGGTTCCTGCGACGTCTCGTGCACGGACAATAAATCGAGCTGCGAGCCATCTCTCTTATCGAAGAACAACTTGTTTCCAACTCGCTGAATCACGATATCCCACGAGTAAACTGATCTTGGTGCGCACATCAAGGCTGCCAGGATAGTATCGGTGGCGAAAACTGTGGCTTTGTCCTCCTTAGCCAACCTCCTAATCACCGGATCATCACTGGTAGTGACTTTAAAGAAATTCCTGTTCTTGAACCTCTCCAATCTCCTCTCATTTTTAGGTGTAATGCGATCATAAGCTCGGTCATAGTACTCGAGAGCGCCGCACAAGAGAAGGTCCTCGGGTTCGGGGACAGCGAATGAAAGCTTGGAGAAAGTGGAGAAAGGGATCTGGTCGAGCATGTTCCATTCAGGCTGAATATCGACAGAGGACTTAAAGGCGGCAGCCTCCCTCCGCGGCTGGTTGACATTCGAGCGATTAAGGTTGTAAAGCCGGTCTCGGCGTGCGCGTTCCTTCTCGGCCTCACGCTTACGGGCCTCGACCTCCTCGTCGCGACGCTGAGGGAGCTGCGGGCGGTGGTGATGCTGCGTGAACCGCCACTTAGGTCCAAACTTGGGCCGCGGCGGGGGCTTTCCATCGACTAGGCGGAAAGTTGAATCCTCGTCGAGGTTAGCACCAGAGCCGGTGACGGGGAAAGAGTCGTCGATGGCGAAGGCGGAGAAATCGAAGACGGCGGAGTCAGAGGGGTTTCCCTTTGAACCACCACCAGCAGTGGGGGGTCGGGCAGAGGGGTTAGCAAGGGCGCGTGTCCAATCGGCTATGCGACCGAGCTTATCAGAGCGCGAAAATGGAGCAAAGGGGACGTGCAGCGGGAGATTGCCAGCGGCTGTGGCTGAAGACGGCGTAGTGGTGGCATCCGGCGGTCCCCAGCCATCTGGATTAAAAGGTACTGCTCCTACTTCAAACCCTCCTACCACCATAGCTAGAAGAGGTTGATTGGTAGGTCGAGTGAATGGATGGAAGGAGAGAAAAAGAGGAGCAGATTCGAGTGTGAGGGGCAGATGAAGGAAACCCTAAGGTTGAGTGAAGAGAGAAACCCTAACTTTTTGCGGGGTATTAAATTATATGGGTTGGGCTTGTGAATATGGGCTTTAGCGTTAAAGGCCTTTTTATAAACTTAGGTTTTGCATAATTTACTCTTTTTTAGCTTTATATCTATGTGTTGTTAGCCACTAATAATAATAATAATAGAGTAATAAGTAATGAATATAAGCACATAAATATGTGCATGCCTAAGAAAATCAAACTATTATTATAGTTTAAAACCTTAGAGAACAAAAATTACATTACCACTCAAATACCTTCATATCACAACAACTCAAAACCTTGAAACGAAATTTGAATAAACCACATCGTGCATGTATGAAGCAAGAAGTTCTTAACAAGAAAATTTTCGAACTTTCAAATTTCGTCCTTAAACTAGTTTGATACTCTTTACTTATGTAATCATTGAACATCGTAGTAGAAATTCAATTCAAAGTCTCATCTCTTAAATTACCCGACAATAAAACTATAAATTGACATGTTTTTCCAAAAAAAATTAAAGAATCAGTTGATCTAATAAAATTTTTTCTTAGTTCAACTTAATAGGTCTTTATCTCCTCAAACCCAAAGTATATATCCTTCTTCTCCTTCTCTCCTTTTCCCTCTCATTCTCCATATTCTTTCTCGCTCATCCACAAGTATATACTCCATATGTAACACTCATCTAAACTTTTTTTTTTTCATTTTTTATTAATAAATATAATTATTTATTTATTTAATTTAATTTAATTTATTTTATTTTATTTTATTTTAATAGAAAATATAAAAATCTATTAAAAATTAAATTAAAAATAATTTTTAAAAAAATATGTGAAAATTTAGGTTCTGAATGTATTTTTGAAAAAACAATCAGAAACCGGGGGGTTAAAACGTAATTTAAAAAAATTACGCCACGTTAGACGCCCCGACCAACTAGAACGCGTCAAGTGACAAAGGCGCTGACGCAGAGGCCACGCGGGGGGGCCATGTGGCCGGATCCCGCGTGCGCGTGATCGAACGGCTGAGGTTCGTTCCCACGCGCACGGACAGCCCAAAGTGAATTGCGCACAGATGGCCTAGATTGGATCTCGATGAATGGCCCAGATTCATTTTCTATTTAATCGTGATCGGACGATTCATATCAAAAGCGATGGACGACCCATATCAAAAGTAGATGGGTATAA